TTTTTTGAACATTTCGATACGATCATTTTTGACGAAGTTACATTCTTTTGAATTTTGCCTATTTTTGGAGAGTAGAGTAAGTGATGCTTTAATTTTGTTGAGAAGTGTATATTTGAATCTAATTTTCGAAATTTGGTAAATTTGGTATTCTCATTGTGTGGGGAGAGTACTAAATTCCACGCAACAAAATTATTTACCAAATTTAAATTTCTAAAATTAGATTCAAATTTTATGTCGTACAGAATTGCACTATGTTCGTGATTGTAGCATCTTACCCTAGTTTCTTAGAAGTTACGAAAAATATAAAAATCTTAAATAAAATATTATGTGTTAATAAGAAATTTAAATACATCACTAAATAATAATTATTGCATTTATTTTCCACATACAATGTTTATTTTTGCTAAAATTAAGTGATATGTAATAAAAATAAATTATAATAAACTTTCCAAAAAATTTCATTTTATTCTATAATTTATACTGCGTATGTTTTTCTTTTTTTTATTAATCGTATATACTTTATATGTAGAATTATAAAACTCTTGTTTCTCCATAGTTTAGATGATATTCAAGATAATTCTATAATGCGAGAAGATTCTCCCGTAACCCATTCTATTTATGGACTTGCCAGCACAATAAACGCTGCAAATTATGTGCAATTTGTTGCTTTTGAAAAAGTTGCTAACTTACATCCCGCGGTAAGTAGTTGTATTGTATTTATTGTTAGAAGACAACCGTTTGACAAATTGAATCTCTTCTAATAAAAATACTACATTTAATTATAATCAATACTATCCAAAGCTCAATAAAATCGAATTAGTAAATTATAAGTAACATATTATTTTGTTAAATAAAACGTAAATTATATTTAAAAAAAACCTCCATTAGACATCCATATAGAAAAGAGATCCATACTATATTCATGTCATAGATGTCCTCCACAAATCTATCATCGACGTCCATTAGACATCTATTATGGATTTAAAAAAAACCTGATATACGGCATCACCGATAGATGGAGTCAGTAAAGTCTTTCTCATATTTAAAAAACGATATAGAATGGAGTAAAATCAATAAAAGCCGCAGTATTATGAGATCTTTTTATTCATTAACAAAATTATTCCTCAAAATTGATTTCTAAGATGAAACTAAATTAGATTAAATGTTGTTTTGATAATACAGTTTTATTGAATTTATGTAAAAATAATTTCAGAAATTTGATATGTTCTTGGTAAATGTAGTTATTTATATTTTGTTATGTTGCTAGAAATCTATAAAATCATCCAGCAAAGCTCTAGGATTGATTTACACAACGTTTGAAAAATATTTATAAATATGGATAATCTAATAGAGGTCGAATGGAAGTACAAAATGCGTAACTATGGATGTTTAGTAGATATCTATAGGAAGTTACATGGATGTCTAATGGAGGTTTTGAATATCTATGAAGAACGTCTAATAGAGTTTTTTGTTCTGTATGGGATGTATTTTTATGTCTTAACAGGCAACTAAAATCTTTATTGAAGAAATGATGGAATGTTATAGGAGTCAAGGAATTGAGATATATTTGACGGATAATTTCATCTGTCCAACTGAAAAAGATTACAAGATTATGACAGCAAGAAGTAAGCTATAATTAGTAAACGTTCATGCTTTTGCAAATTTCTACTGTATACATATAAAAAATATCAAAAGTTAAGTTACACGTATATAAAATTCTAACTTTAATTGATTTTATAGAGAGTAGTTGGATGGTCAAGTTGGGAGTAAGATTAATGAAACTGTTTTCTACTTATGAAGAAGACACTTCATCGCTAATAAGTACTTTCGGAATGTACTATCAAATACGTAA